TGAAGAGTCATTACTCTTAGAATTATCTTCAAATGATTCTGATTTAGTTGAATCTTTAGTAGATTCATTCTTAGTAGACTTAATAGACTTAGTTGAATCTTTAGTAGACTTAGTTGAATCTTTAGTAGATTCATTCTTAATAGATTTATTTTGTTCATTTTCTAACTCACTTGCAACTTCTTTAGCAACATTCTTAATAACCTTATTTACTTCATCAAAATCATCATTATTTAAAATTCCATCATTATTCAATTCATTACTTGGTACTTCTATTTTATTATCTTCATTATTTTGATCAATTGATTTAAATGAGAAACTTACTAATGATTTAGCTGCATCACTTACTAAATTACCAATTGATTTAGCCATTGAAGATATTGTTGTTTTCTCTTCAGTTCTTTTCTTTTCAGAAAACTCTTTATCTTTTTCAATCAAATTAAATTCATCTTCTTCAACTAAATCATTTTCTAGATCTTCCACAAATTCTTCACCTGCTTCTATAAAGTTAGTGATCAACTTTTCCATATCAACTATATATTCTTGTTCTTGAAGTAGAACATCATTTCTTATAATCTTTAAATGATCACCTGATTCTGTAGCATCAATTAAATAAAGTGATCCAATCTTTTCAATTTTTCCTTTATTATCTAAAAGGGGTAAAAACATTTTCATTAATTCTTCACATGGATCAGTTTCTTTTTCAACTTCTATACCTTCAGTTAATAAATCATTTAACAATTCTTGATTTAATGATCTATCACTTCTTCCATCACTTAATATTTCTTTAAGCTTTTCTGCTCCATTTACAGTAACACTAACATTACTATTCACATCATCATTTAAATTAGCCTTAGAAATAAGATTATTTAATAAATGGTTACTTATAGAACATTCTACTCTATTTTCCTTTTCGGGTAATGATTCATTATATTTAGAAAACAATTTAGTACCATTCTCTGTAAATATTCTAGCTTCCACAAGATCATTAATAACTTTTTCATTATTAGTTTTTATAGTATCTAATGTCATAGAACTTTTACTCTTCATCATATCATTTACTAATATTTGATTTAAAGATTTCTTATTACTATCTAATGTTATTGAACTTTTTGAAGTTAAACTTCTTTCATTGAGAAGTGTTGACTTACTAGAAGCATTTTACTGTCTATTAATGATTTCTTAGATGATAAATTACTTAGTTGACTCTCTTTCATTTTACTTTCATCAGTTTCATTTATAGAATTATTTTTAGAAGATAATTTCCTACTAATTTCACTTAATGGTTTAACATCAGTTACATCTTCTACTGATTCTTCCATTTCAGCACTAACAATGAAATTCACCAAATCTGCATTAGGTGAATCTAAATTCTTATGTTGACGATCAATAAATGATTTTGATTTAATTTTCTTTAATAAGTTTTTATTTATTGATCCACTTGTAGTTGGCTCAATATCTTCAACATAATCTCCTAAAACTTTTATACCCATTATTTGATCAATAATGTACTTCATTTGTTTGTCTGTAACTGACTTATCAACTTCCAGATTAAGTGATCCAAATTCCAAGAAAATTGTTAATTTTCTAGCCCCTTTAACTTCATTTTTTTCACTTGTTTCATCTTCAGTTTTGATTGATTTATTAACCAAATCTTCCGGTTTTGGTATTTCAGTTGTAGATTCTTCAATTAAAAATGAAGAATCTTTATCTAAAATAGGTTCATCTTTAAGGTATAAAATATCATTAGAAGAATCATTTAAATTCTTATTGCTTAATTTCTTACTTTTTGGTGATTTGTTAACTGACTTACCAGAATATGATTTATTTCTTTGTCTCATATTTATAAAGAGTAAGTTTTTAATTTTAATTTATAGTTCAAAAGGGGTAAAAATGATCAAATAACAAAATTAGCAATTTGATATAAATTTAAAGGCAAATAAAAATG